ATCAAATTTCAGTTAGGCTGTTTCGGAGTAAAATTGTATACACATATGCAAGTTATGCTAACTGAAATGTATAGGTTATGTTGAGTGCCTGCTTAGTAAATGTAAGTGCACTGTAGAATTATGGTGCCAGGAGTCTCCTGCTGCCAGTCTTCTGGTCTCCTGGACTCTAACCTTTCAAAACATTAAACCTCCAGGTTTCCACGGCCCAGCCCCTCTTCACAGATTTTGCTAGAGTGGAGCTTCCCCTACCACATATTTATATCACTTTGGATGATATTCATTGATTGAGGAATGTTTGCTGACACTCTGCCAATCAGTACAAAGCAGACATAATTAAATTGCTGATATGGTAGTATTTCATTTTAGTGTTAACTATCAAGAGAGCACGGTCCACAAGCACTTGAGGGACCCAGGTGAGCATCAAACCATTTGAAAAAGGTGTTGCTCTTAAAACTCATGACATCCTATTTGCTCTACTAATTATGGTGTTTAGAGTGCCTTTTTAAACTTCCACCTACCTCTTGCTAGATCCACTAGTTAAAATTAAAAGTTAGTCTTTACTTATTTTGCATTCCAAATAAAAATAGATATTTCTTAGTAATAAATAATATGTTACAGGCATATGGAAAGCACATAGTATATATCTATATATAGATATACAGAGTACATAAAAATATATAACTTGTACTGTGTGGAACTGAAAGACGCACAAGTATGTTCATGTACAAGGTAATTGGGTGGGCATTGGGCACTGTGGATTTTTTTCTCATCAGGTTGAAAACAGTTTGACAAAGAACAGAGGGTATAAACACAGAGCTCCCTCTCAACAACTCACTGTTTATTGAATAGTCCACTAGGCGTTCAATTAATATAGGGTCGTCTCTATAATAAAATGAAATATTTAAATGCTGTAAAAAAAAACTTGATACTTTTGTTTGAAGAGCACCTAATGTAAAGTTACTAATTCTGTGTATTATATGTCCCAGTAGCGCACTTAAAGTAGAACTGTAAAGGTGAGATGAGATTTAATATAAAATGTTAGAAAGTATTTAGGCTTACAGACACACAAAAAGACTTCTCTACCAAAGTATGCCATTAACTAATACTAAGGCTCCAGATTTAAACATCCCTTTGCTTTTGGTAACGTACACTAACATTGTCAATCAAAGGGCATTCTTCTAGTATTAGGGCTTTGTTACAGTTTTGTAAAGTTATAGCAAAACAAGAATAATTAGGTGGAATAGCACAAGAAAGTGTCAAGAGTCATATATCCATATAGAAATATTTATAATACGGAAACTGAAAGTTATATCATACAAAGGCAAAAATATAAAAAATAATGGTTGGTTACTTTCACTTTTGTAATTTTGTGATCGCTGCGTCTTCACGATTTTAGTTACACTGTACAAATACAGCAGCAGATGCTACCTTGTAACTTTCAAACGATTTATAGTGAATCATCTTAGCCTCTCCGTAAAATTTTTACTTAATGGAGTCCTGGCATTTCTGATGAGCTGGGTGCTTAATTTTATAGAATAACCTATTGAGCAAGATGTTCTTGGACATTCCCATCTCAACTAAATGCTAAAAGTATTAAAATTCACATTAGCGTACAAAGAAATTTTGCATGGGTAATCCTTTAATACAATGTTTTATGGCTCTATTAGCTGCACAGCAGCTGGTGACATGATGAATTTAATCCATTAAAAAATTCAGTAAGAGGTTTAAAAGTCATCTTTTTCAAATGTAATCATGCTGCAGGGAAAGTGAACTTCACTTATGGCAAAAAACAAGGTGCTGGCTTCATATTGTGCCAGGTACAAACATCTCACAGTTGGAAAATAGATACTTAATATAAATAATGTGTCCTCCGCATTAAAGAGTACACCCCCTCCCTACACAAACAAATATACCATTTCTATCTTGAGGATATCATATCAGCCAGAAACCACCATCGATTTCAGTTCCCAAGGAAGGATTTATTCTTTATTATTGACTCACAGTATATTATTTTATAGGGCATACTATGTCTGCAATGCTCCCACAAAAGTTATCTTTCCAAAATGGCAACCTATCTCAGCATCATTCTGCAACAGTGTACATGTGGGTTATTCAGTGACAGGCAAAGCAATGATCTACACTGCAATTGCTTGGAAAACCACTCTTCAAGTGTAATATAAGTAACATTTAAAAAAACAAATCTAATACATTTCATTTTGTTCTTGCTTGTGTCTCCAGTGCAGTAGTGGAAGGAACTGTTGCTGTAGTGAACAATATTTTTGTGGGTGGTGGCCTAGGGTATTATTTCCCTGCTATGTTGTTCAATGTAGAACATGGACTGATATGTATGGATCGTGTAGATGTGATCCATATCATTTTCACTGTAACATAGGGGCTAGGCTATGGGTGCTGCTCAAAAATGGTACGACAAAACCTGTAAAAGACTACACCCAAAGACTCTCTGCATTATACGCATAACAATAAGCTACTGTGACTGATTATGGTGGTTAGATTGTTCTTTTAGTACAGGGGTTCTCAACCCAGTCCTCAAGAACCCACTACCAGTCCAGGATTTAGGGATTACCTGGGTGTATCTAAGGTGTTTTTTTTTCTCTAAACAGCTTAGACACACCCAGGTAATCCCAAAATCCTGGACTGGTAGGGGGTCCTTGAGGACTGGGTTGAGAACCCCTGCTTTAGTACATAATGAATCAGCTAACTTTGTGCATCACTGCTTAATTTTTTTAAAGTATCACACTAAAATCCAGGGTAGTCTCTTGCCCTTTTTATACTGTATTTTAGTACACTATGGCAGTAAAATGTTTGCTAACATTTCAAACAATAGAGACAAACCTTTACTATCTTTTTTGTTTTATTGTGCCATCTTACATGATAAATAACTCATTTTAAAATATGCAAATAAACACTTGGAAAAGAATGTAAAGGTCTGTGTGTTTGAGCAAATTCTCAGATATTACCTGATTAGTCTATAGCTCTGCCCACTTAAGGAAGTAGCCTGGCCAATCAGGACTTCTCATTCTGCTGAATGGTGTCTGAACACATTGTAATCCAGCACTGCAAGGGTTAAAGTGCAGGTCATATACAAACTGTTCATTTATTTTTGCAGAGATTATAAATGTGATAGCGAAAATACAAAATGATAATTTTCTTCTGTTTTTCTCTCATCAATAAATCTTTGAATTCCAAACGGTATGTGTGTCCAGTACCCCATCTCCAAATACCAGCCACAAGGTTTTCTTTTTCATATCTTTAAGAAATTATTTTTTGTTTTTGTTTTTATGTCTCAGATGACTGATTGCTAATACATTATTTAAATTATTATCGTAATTTTGGAAGATTCACGGAGAGTTTAGCAGACAGAATTACTTTTAACAAAGACTTCATCTTTATGTAAAGCATTTAATTGTTTTGCTAGTATACATCTGTGTGCTTCTTCATTATAATTTGTAATTAATTTAACATCAAGCTTTGATTACTTGTTGCAACACAAGCAAATAATCACTGAAGCTTGGTGTTACATTAAATTAACTCAAATCCATGGTATATTTTAAGGGAGAGGACTTTTTCAGTTGCTCTGTTTTTATCTGCTGAATGTACAGTGCAAATATATGTGTATATCGCTAGCGTGGACAGATTTAGATTATATAGAGGGATATGTCTTTGAATCAAGGTAGCCCTTATTAATCCATTATTACTTCATTAACATGTGTATTGTCAGGAATTGACCAAGGAATTTAAAAATTTTAGTGCAAGATAGCATAATTGAATCAATTCTCCAACTAATTTATGTTTTTAGTTCATGAGTATTTTAATTTGGAAATTTCCAGGTCTGTTCCAAAAAGTTCACAGTGTACTGAATAAACCTGGCCGTGGTGTACTGGAGTTATCTTTGAAATCAGGAGAATATATGATGTGAAATTGGCACAATGGCTTCACTATACAGATAAGCAATAAAGAGGTACTCTATGTACAATAACCACTGCAAAGCGCTGTAATGGTTAAGGTGCAAGTTATCCCCTAGTGCCATTTCATGGTAAGTAGTTAAACCATTTTTAGGTCCCATAGGTGGCTCTGGTCTGGCCCCACTTCATATAGCTAAACCAGAATGTTCACCTACAGGTGATACTCGAAAATTTAGAATGTCGTGCAAAAGTTCATTTATTTCAGTAATGCAACGTAAAAGGGGAAACTAATAAATGAGATAGACGCATTATATGCAAAGCAAGATAGTTCAAGCCGTGATTTGTCATAAGTGCGATGATTATGGCTTACAGCTCATGAAAACCCCAAATCCACAATCTCAGTAAATTAGAATATAACATGCAATCAATAAAACAAGGAGTGTACATAGAACAATATCGGACATCTGAAAAGTATAAGCATGCATATGGACTCAGTACTTGGTTTGGGCCCCTTTTGCAGCAATTACTGCCTCAATGCGGCGTGGCATGGAAGCTATCAGCCTGTGGCACTGCTGAGGTGTCATGGAAGACCAGGATGCTTCAATAGCGGCCTTTAGCTCTTCTGCATTGTTTCGTCTCATGTCTCTCATCTTTCTCTTGGCAATGCCCCATAGATTCTCTATGAGGTTCAGGTCAGGTGAGTTTGCTGGCCAATCAAGCACAGTAATCCCACAGTCATTGAACCAGGCTTTGGTGCTTTTGGCAGTGTGGGCAGGTGTCAACTTCTGCTGGAAAATGAAGTCAGCATCCCCATAAAGCTCGTCTGTGGAAGTAAGCATGAAGTGCTCCAAAATCTCCTGGTAGACGGCTGCGTTGACCCTGGACTTAATGAAACACAGTGGACCAACACCAGCAGATGACATGGCTCTCCAAATCAACACAGACTGTGGAAACTTCACACTGGACTTCAAGCAAATGAGATGCAAAAGTTGCTCTCATCAGAAAAGAGGACTTTGGACCACTGAGCAACAGACCTGAGCAAGGTTTCGTTAGCCCAGGTAAGACGCTTCTGACGTTGTTTGTTGTTCAGGAGCGGCTTGACAAGAGGAATACGACATCTGAAGCCCATGTCCAGGATCTGTCTGTGTGTGGTGGCTCTTGATGCACTGACTCCAGCCTCAGTCCACTCCTTGTGAAAGTTCCCAACACATTTGAATTACCTATTCCTGACAATCCTCTCCTCATCATCCTGCTGCTTGTGCACCTTTTTCTTCCACACTTTTCCCTTCCACATAACTTTCTATTAATGTGCGTTGATGCAGCACTTTGGGAACAGCCAACATCCTTCGTAATTACCTTTTGAGGCTTTCCCTCCTTATGGAGGGTGTCAATGATGGATTTCTGCACAACTGTCAGGTCAGCAGTCTTCCCCATGATTGTGATTCATACTAAACCAGACTGAGAGACCATTTAAAGACTCAGAAACCCTTTGCAGGTGTTATGGCTTACTTAGCTAATTAGAGTGGGACACTGTGAGCCTAGAATATTGCACCTTTTCACAATATTCTAATTTACTGAGATTGTGGATTTGGGGTTTTCATGAGCTGTAAGTCATAATCATCACACTTATGACAAATCATGGCTTGAACTATCTTGCTTTGCATGTAATGCATCTATCTCATATATTAGTTTCCCCTTTTACGTTGCATTACTGAAATAAATGAACGTTTGCACGATATTCACGTTTTTCGAGTATCACCTGTATGTATTATATATATCTGTTTTGTCACTCTTTGAACAGAATTAATTGGCTTAATTGAGAGCATCAGCTGACACATCCAAACATAGGTGGAATTAATGCTACTAATGTGAAAGTAGAGGAAATACAGATTGATACAATAGGCATCAAAAAACTTAATACGTAACAGCTTACAGTCTAGGTCACAGATGTGAAGCTCATTCATTCATGAGGGCCATATTGTCCACTGAAATAGATATGGAGGGCCGACTGCATAAAATCTACATATACATATATGCGCAAACAAGGAAACAAGTTGCCACAAAGAACAATTTCATATAATGTCAAAAATTTAATTTATTGCTTTCTTACAACAATAAAAAGGTGAATTTTTGTGTAGTGTTGGCATTTGAGTGCAGTTTTGTGTTTGTATGTACTGTTGCCATTTGAATGCAGGGGTTTGTTTGTGTGTAGCACATGCGTTTGAATGCAGGCTGTGTTTGTAGTAATGGTGTTTGAATGCAAGGCTGTGCTTGCGTGTTTGAATGCAGGGTTGCATTTGTGGGCAGTGTTGGTGTTTCAATGCTGGGGTGTATTTGAATGCAGTGTTGGAGTTTGAATGCTGGGATATATGCACTGCCACACACACTGACACAGGTACACATACAAACTGACACATACAGACACACAAATGCACATATAAGTAACAATTAACATTGTTTAGCTATAGTTTTAGCTCCCTTGCACACTCACAATTTCCTGGGCAATGAGAGGGAGCAGATGTCAGTCTCTACTACCTTGTAATTTGCATCCCCTGCCAGTGCCATCATTAAGACCATAAACAGGGCAGCTCCTGTCCAGGGGCGGGCTGGGATGTGGGTCAGGGAGGCAATTGCCCCCAGGCCGCCCTAAATTATTTTTAAAATGTCCGCAGGCGGCTCTCTAATTAAGAGGTTTTGGCGGCTTCCTAAACCACCTTAGGGCAGACTGTGTCGGGTGACCGAGGACCCGACACCAAGAGGGGGCCCGGCAGCTTGTTCAGTATGCCGCCTGGTGCAAGGCCCCTCCAGGCTGCCCAAGAGCACCTGTGGCCGCTGGTCTGCAGCTCCGCAGTGTGCAGAGCTGAAAACCTTGTGTCTCGCGAGATCTGGCCAATCAGAGCGTTGCCGCGGGTAAGGACGGCAATGCTCTGACCAGGTCTCACAAGATATGGTATGCAGCTCTGCACACTGTGGAGCTGCAGACCGGATATCACCACCAGACCACAAGGGAGCCCACTGGATTACCAGGGAGCCCACTCTGAACAACCAGGGAATGACAGAAGGTATGTAGTCCACCCTCCCTCAAACCATCACCCCCCCACACATTATTACCCCCCCTCTCACCATCACCCCCTCCCCTCTCACATCACCCCCCTCCCTCTCACCATCACCCCTCTTTAACACCATCACCCATCACCCCCTCCCTCATACCATCACCCCCCTTCCCTCATACCATCGCCCTCCCTCCCTCTCACCATCACCCCCCTCCCTATCACCATCACCCCCACATAAACCACATTGTATCATATTTGCCTGGCTTCATAACATCAATATTATTATAAAACCAGGAAAAGGTGGACATGGATGGTGAGCTGATTCGGTGGTGCAATGGGCCACTTGACTGGATTTTCCCCCCAGGCTTAGAGCTGCCATCCCTCCCTGCCCTGTCCCTCCCTACCTCCTACCCGGTGTCCCTGGTGCCAGCTACCTGTGCTGCCTGCCTCCTCTCCTGCTCCCTTGCACTACTGTCTGGGAACCAGGAGGCAGTAAAGTTTAATCACTTCCTCCCAGCACAGTGAGCACTCAGGTATCAGGCAGCTGTGCCGTGGGACAAATTCGAGAACCCTTAACAGCCATGGTCTAGGTGAAAGCACAAATTAATAGAACACTAATAGACACTAGAGGTTCCACACAGTCCAGATGCGGGCTTAACCATAAATTAGACAATATATTAAAAAATGTGAACCAAATGCCACATAATGTGGTCTATTTCAGCAGGTAAAAAATTAATAGCAACTCTCCTATACATAAATGTTTATAGAATGTAATGTGTAAATATTCCACGAAAGTGAAGGGACTAATAGTCATACTGGGCTACGTGTAAATACACAATATACCCCATTGTATAGCGCTATGGAATTTTCTGGTGCTATATAAATAATAAAATAATAATAATAACATACCCCTATCAGCCTGAAAGGAACAGGCTTTATTAACACAGTGCACACAGGGTAACGTAAAAAAGTACAAAATTAAACAAACAAACAGAGGATTACCTCAGTTGCAAAAGTATGCTTATAAAGAATAGAACTGTATAAAAAGTGCAGGGGAACTGAGTAACATCTGATCAACATGAGTAACACAAGATCTGTAACTATAAGGAACCCAAATTCAGTTCTAGTATGTGCTGTTAACCTCTAAATCATGTGAATTCACCACCTTTCTCATCTATGTGGTAAAATATGATCACTAAAATCATTCAGATCATAAGCAAGATATAAGCAATGTATCCCGGCCATGACAGATGATGTGGCAGAACAGTCATTATATCATAGAATTAGCTTAACTCATTGTCCCCATATTGGAGACTAAAACAGTGGACAAATATGCAGATATATTATGGTTATCTGTGTGTTAGATGTTAAGACTTGAAAAATATCCATAGGAGCTTGCCATTTCACCACCAATAAATCTTGTGCTGCAATCATTTTAGGGGTGCTGGACCTGTCTTCCTTGTTTTTCAGTAAATTCTTTTATAAGGGGAAACATAAATCCCTCACTACAGTATTTTTCAACAGGCAGATCATGCTTTCAAACTTCCTACTACAAGGATGGTGACATCCTATGTACAATTATTCCCCATAATGAAGGGGTAATAATGCATGGATCGTATCTGTACAGTCTGGGAGGCCTAATCTCAGATGACTGAAACATTTCAAAAAGAAAGTAAAATATTCCCTTTTTTATTTTTCTCTTTTAATCCTTACATTTCCTCAAAATGAGTATGTATGGTATCGGGCTGGCCAATGGTGTATTGGGAATTTCTGAAGATTTTGTCAAACTGATTGAAAATGGGTTTACAAAGTGACAGCACACATTGCTTCCTTGCACCATGATCACTGCAGTAAGCTACAGTGGTATTGGTGCATTGAATATTCATTTCATGAAAAAGAAATGAAATAACAAATAGTGAAATGAAATGAAAAAGGAGTCCACATGGACACCAATTGGCCAGGTGGGAAACCTTTGAAAGCCTCCATTCTCTTACATCATGGCCAGGAATGTGAGGTTTAATACAAGCAGTCTTTTTAAAGTGACTTTGTCAGTATTGCATATTTTGTAAATACCCTCAGTGTGGTGGCCCAAGGGTGAAGCTAAAAATAATTATACATACCTGAAGCTCTCACTCGCAGGCACTGCCATCTGCTTTCTGTAGTTCCTTGCACTTCGCCCAGAGTATGCACCTCTGCTGTACTTTCTCACATGAACAAGAGTACAACATGTAGGTCCATGGAGGATCTTGAGACTGCAGGATCAGCAATAGACCAATACTTGCAGTGCACAAGAAGATTCCTGTTTCCCGGCTATTAGAAAGTGCAAAACAACAGAAGGTCAGCCTTTTATCAACTTCAGGATTGGCCATAGACAAAGTAGTAACTATTTGTCTTATTATTATGTTAAAATGTCAATTCCAATGCAGTCACTTTGAGTATAATACTCCAGGTGAGGTCTCACCAGTGCTCTGTACAATGGCATTAGCACTTCCCTCTTTCTACGGCTAATACCTCTCCAATATATGTAAATATATATATATATATATATATATATATATATATTCATTTACTGAGAAATCGTCAGAAAAATGCTAAATTGTATTGTGACAGAGGAAAATGAACTGCCTATCTCTGAAAGGCTAGATCACTTTTTTTGTGTGTGTGTGTGTGTTAGTCATTATTTTATCGTATTTTTTATGGATCAATACAGATTGGAAAAGGCAGTTAAAGGGACACAGTAGGCACTGTATCTGCTTCATCTCATTAAACTGGTTATAGTGTATGGAGTCCCCTGGTGCCATCATTTCTTTCAGCATTAAACAGTTTTTAATGTTGTAATGTTTTAATGCTAAACAAGAGACCACAGCAATCCATCCCCTCGGTGCTGCTTTGGCTAATATGGAAGTATTACCCTGAGCAGCAATAGGCAGCTGTGATTGGCTGAGAGTGTCAGCTGACTGCTTTTAACCTGTCAGAGCTCCAACTGACGGTATGAATGGGTATGACACCAAGGAAGTGTGTAATCTCTGCCTTAGCTACACATACAAAAGGGGCCGGACTGTGGGTGGCAAGGGACTCTTATTTTGTGGCATATTGCACAAACATGGTGCAACACTGAATGGAGGGACAGTGCCAGGGCACTCCAGGCACTATAACCAATTCAAAGAGACAAAGTGGTTATAGTGACTACACTGTCCCTTTAAGACAAAAAGCGGTTTTCGACAAAGTAAATTACATATCAATGCACAATCGAAGAGATACATTGTGTTTGTTTCTTAATGGCATTGTAAAATGCTGAAACAACGTGTCATGTATGTTCCCTGAGTGGGTAGTTGGGCTAGATCACTTTTAACCAGTTTTCACTGTTGTAACTTTGTTCTTATCCACTTGGTGATTC